GAAGACTTTTGACACTGTTAATCATGCTGGTCTCTGGAAAATCATCTCAAAATTGGGCTGTCCCTTGACCCACTTTCTAAAGATTTTGAGTTGCTTCCATGACGGTATAGAAGCCTGCATCAGTTTTGGCAGTGTGCTTATGGGCCCCATCAAGGTTGAAAATGGGGTCAAGCAGGGAAATCTTCTGGCTCCTACACTGTTTTCTATCTCCTTTGCAATTGTAGTGCTCAATGCATTTGGGCACTGCCATGATGTCATAATGATAAGGTACAGGTCAGCTGGCTAGCGTTTGCAACAAGGACAAAAGTCTTTTTGAGTTTAGTGTGCAAACTTCTCTATGCTGATGACTGTGATCTGGTTGCACACACAATTCAGCATGCACAGGAGTTCATGGTTCAATTATCAGAGTCATGTAAGGCTTTCAAACTGTCCATTAGCTTTGACAAGACAGTGGTGATGTATCAACCTGCCTGAGGAATTCAGTATATAGAGTCATCAATTTATGTTGATGGTAGTCAACTTGGGGTAGCAGATAAATTTGTATACTTTGGTAGCACCCTCAACTGCCACTGATCTCTTGACGATGAGATAGCATTATGGATTAAGAAGGCCTCCAATGCATTTGCAGCACTCAAGGTCCATGTCTGGAGTCAGAAGGGCAAAAAAATGTACAAAAAAATTAAAAGCTATAATGCCTGCATTATGTCATCTCTGCTATATTCATGTGAGACATGGGTAGTTTATCACAGACAACTGAAGAGACTGGAATGTTTTAATCAACACTGTCTTCGGTCTATGTTTGAAATCCACTGGATGTCACACATCCCTGATACTGTTGTTCTACAAAGGGCCAATTCACTCTCTGTGAATGCACTTATACACAAGCACAGATTGTGATGGATGGGCCATGTTGCCCATATGGTGGATGACAGAATTCCAAATAAATTAATGTATGGAGAATTGGAAATTGGGGAAAAAAAGATCGCAGCACAAGCCAAAACTTCATTACAAAGATTGCCTTAAATAGTCACTATACACATGCAATATTGGTCTGGATAACTGGGAGACTCTAGCTGAAGATTGGGTTTCTTGGAGAACTGGTATTGCTGATGGTGTCAAGATCTTACATGAGGCATCGCAAAAATATGCAGAACTGAAGAGAGAGGTTCAGAAGTGATCCTTGAATTACCATGAGGTGCCAATCTGGCTATATGCCCAATGCAATCGGATATCTCTGTCCAGGGTGCATCTGATCAGTCACCAGAAATCACACTAACCCTAACAGTCTATTATATATGATGATTTTGTAATGGCATGCTTTGAATGCCCAACCTGCACTAGGATGTGCAAGTCCTGGTCGGGCCAAGCAAGACATATGGAAAGGTACATTGGAAGTGATGGTGATCAAAGTCAAATTCCACCACCCAGAGATGATTTGATATGGCACATATGTAACAAGAAATGCAGATTGATGGCTGGCTTTATGAGCCACTGTCATTCACACAACCGATGAATGCAGTGTTGTGGGGTGGGGAGTTTAACTGAATGGCTGAACATGTCCATGATTGTCATATTTGCTTTGTGAATTGACAGCCACTACACACACACACACACACACATATATATATATATATAAAAACAATAGATTACTAACTATATATATATATATATATATATATAAATATACTCTTAAGATGTGCTATATTTATAGGATAAAGTGCTCAATATCAGAGATAGAGCATGTGTAAATATAAAAGTGAGCATTGAAGTCAACAATTAGAGGCGACAGGTTGTTTCATCCTAGACGCAATCATCAGGCCACAATTACATCTAGCATGAAACAGCCCATTGCCTCTAAGTGTTGACTTCAATGTTCACTTTTTTATATATATATATATATATATATATATATATATAAACATGAAATCAAAGTTTTAATCTTATCCTGATGGAAAGTGATTTGATAAAATGACTCCACCAAGCAACACATTTGGATTTTGCCTAAAATTCATATCACAGGTTGACTCAAACCTTGTGAGGAAAACTGCATAGATGAAGATGTTGATAAGCCATCAATGATTGTACTAGCATAAAGTCAGAAGTCATCGTGAGTGAGGCTATGAGTGTACTGGGTTTGTTCAACTACTGATAATGCCAGATTATGTGCTCTTTCCTAGAAACTATAACTAAGATACACTCAGGATCATTGCATTATAAACCATGGGTGGGCACCGTGGATGCTGAAGAAACACAAATATGGCTGGTCAGTGATTTGCAACCATTGCAGATATGTGTAGTGGACACCCTGGAGAGGCATGATATAATATGTCCTGTGCACCCCAAATAAGTATGAGTCACAAGAGGCCCACTAACATTTTTAAATTAAAGACATGAAATCTGACAGGTCAACAAGCGGACAACAAATGACAAACTAAAAATTGATACTATATTTATTTACATTGTATACCAAACAATATGTTTGTATTAATGGAACATGAACAAACAATGAATCAAGTAATGGAGGCAGAATTAAGTAAATTGAAGAATCCTGACCGGCTAGAAGATCTAGATAATATAACTCTGACTAAATGTTAAAAGTAGAGTCCATGTAAGTCCACGGTTCAAAAGTTCAGTTCAAATGTCCGACACTGGTGTTACATAACTGCTGGTTAAGTCCAATTTTGAAACTTCCGTAGTATTTTAACCAAAGTGTACAGAACAGGTTATTTGAGTCTGGACGATATGCATGCCACAATTTCCTAAACCAGGTGAGTTAGGTTGACAGGAAAGCCAGAAGCAGGGATCTAGTGTAGCTGGAAGTTCAGGGCTGTTGTAAGCAGGTTCATTAACACCAATCAACTAGGTGAATTAGGTTGAGATAGAGATGCCAGGAGTAGGGACCATGGTGTAGCCGGATGTTCAGGGTTTGTGGAAGTAGTAGCTAGGAATGCCAGAAGTAAGAATTTGTGGTACTGGAAATAATAAAGGCCAGGAATGCTAGAAGTATGGGACCATGGTAGCAAGAAGTAATAAAGGCCAGGAATGCTGGAAGTGTGGGACCATGGTAGCCAGAAGTTATAAAGGCCAGCAATGCTGGAAGTATGGGACCATGGTAGCTGGAAGTAATAAAGGCCAGAAATGCTGGAAAATAAGGGTCCATGGTATCCAGAAATAATAAAGGGTAAAGAGTGCTGGAAGTAAGAATGAATAGGAAAGCCCAACTAGCATCCAGTTTGCAGACAGAAATAAATGGTACGTAACTCAATACATACTCCATCCAAACACCCTGGCCATAATGGCCATGGGTCAGTGTTTCTTGTCCTTATGATAAGGAAGAATAAACATTGACTGGTCCTGCATATCTACTTAATATTTAATGAACATAAATTCAGTGTTGTTACAGAATATAAAAAGCATAAAAATATGTTCGCAAAGAGTATTCAGACTAAGTTCATAATACTGAAACAAATAAAAAGACATTAGGTTTATTATGAATCTAAATGAACTTGTTATATTAAATTGAAGGGTGTGGGGCAACGCAATGAAGAAAGGCTCAAGGTAATGAACACATATAACATCTGCACTTGATCACATGAATGGTGTAGCAAAGGGCTACGATATCTGTGCCTTGCCCGTCATCTATACTTGTTAGGTATTTTTTTCCTGACTCTTGAGGTCAGTGTTCAAGCTAAGATAAAATAAAAGCTTTGAAGGTTATTTTTAATGTAAGCAATGAGGTTTTCCCCTATTTTTAAGATTACAGTCCATGGAATTATAAGAATATTAAGTTATATGAAATTCAGTGTTTATTTTCCAGCTTATCTTAAATATAATCTTGTCTTTTGTCAAGTATCTGTGTTTGTCTATATTATTCCCTCTCTTTTTGTGTAGGTGTTATTGGTGACATGGACATTGGGTGGGGGGTGCATGGTGTCTGCAACATTCTATGATGCAATAGCAGACTTGGTTCTAGGAAAGCATTGCTTTAGCTTAGACATTCTTCAGAACTATTGCTAGGGTTAAATGAAAACAGATAAAAAAGATATTATGAAGCAAAAAGATCACCTGCAAATGCTTTTTTTTTCTAATAGAACTTTGTCTCATTGTCATGGACAATTCAACTGTTTTCCAGTAACACACCTGTAATATGTTTTACCGAGGTTGTTGTGAGATTCTGAGACAAAATATTTTCCTTATTATCTGGTCGTAAATAAACCAAACTAAATCAAAAAAATTCACAGGAAGTAAGTAAAAGAGTACTTACAAGAATTATGTCTGATTATGAAAACTTTCACAGCTTAATGGTGTAGGTGTTGTTCATGAAAGATGAGGACAAATGTTTTGTAAGGCATAAACAAAAAAATGTTGAGAAATTCACAATGAGAATGACTACAAGAATCTTCTTTGACAATGAAGACTTTCATAGCTTAATGGTGAAGGTGTGTTTATGAAAGATGAGGTCCAAAGTGTTGTAAGGAGGAAACAAAAATATTGTAAGGAAATCACAATAAATAAGAGTATAGTTAAAAGGTAATTATCCTGTTCAAGTCTTTGTAGCCCAATGCTTAAGGATTCATTAATATATATATATATATATATATATATATATATATATATATATATATGTGTGTGTGTGTGTTTATGTATGTATGTATTTATGTATCTTAAAGAAACCTTAAACATTGGTCTGCAAAAGCTTGAACAGGATAATTACCTTTTAACTATACTCTTACTTATTGTGATTCCCTTGTCATATATATATATATATATATATAGAGAGAGAGAGAGAGAGAGAGAGAGACTAGACTACCCATAACCCATTGGGTCACTGACAGTTCATTAAAAAATTGTCTGTTTGAAGAAAGTTGTATTTTTAAATGTTATTCACTTAAAATATTTTTAAATCAGATTTATCTAATATGCCAAAAAATATTTTAAAATCATATTCACTTGAAAATATTCTTTAAAGAAAGCTGAAATATAAATAAGCATGCATGCAATCACAGGAAGGTGGAAAGAGAGAGAGGTAGAAAGAGAGAAAGATGGAAAGAGAGAGAGGTAGAAAGAGAGAAAGATGGAAAGAGAGAGAGGTAGAAAGAGAGAAAGATGGAGAGAGAGGTAGAAAGAGAGAAAGATGGAAAGAGAGAGAGGTAGAAAGAGAGAAAGATGGAAAGAGAGAGAGGTAGAAAGAGAGAAAGATGGAAAGAGAGAGAGGTAGAAAGAGAGAAAGATGGAAAGAGAGAGAGGTAGAAAGAGAGAAAGATGGAAAGAGAGAGAGGTAGAAAGAGAGAAAGATGGAAAGAGAGAGAGGTAGAAAGAGAGAAAGATGGAAAGAGAGAGAGAGGTTGAAGAGAGAAAGATGGAAAGAGAGAGGTAGAAAGAGAGAAAGATGGAAAGAGAGAGGTAGAAAGAGAGAAAGATGGAAAGAGAGAGGTAGAAAGAGAAAGATGGAAAAGAGAGAGGAAAAGAAAAAAGAAAGATGGAAAAGAGAGAGGTGGAAAAGAGAAAGATGGAAGAGAGAGGTGGAAGAGAGAAAGATGAAAAGAGAGAGAGGTGGAAAAGAGAGAAAGATGGAAAGAGAGAGGTTGAAGAGAGAAAGATGGAAAGAGAGAGAGGTAGAAGATGGAAAAGATGGAAAAGAGAGAGGTAGAAAGAGAGAAAGATGGAAAAGAGAGAGGTAGAAGAGAGAAAGATGGAAAAGAGAGAGGTAGAAAGAGAAAAGATGGAAAAGAGAGAGGTTGAAAGAGAGAAAGATGGAAAGAGAGAGAGGTAGAAAGAGAGAAAGATGGAAAGAGAGAGAGGTTGAAAGAAATCATTATTATGCACTCAACAGACAGTTCACCATGCAAGCATGATTCACAGACTTTTAGTAATATATATATATATATATATATATATATATATATAAGATGGGTTTTTGCATCTTTTTTTTCTGTTTTGATATTAAATTTTGATGAATGTAACAAATAAGAAGTACATAAAATGAAAATTGAAATTATCTATTCAAAAAATAATAATAAATATGCCTACAAAAGAAAGAGCCATGGCAGCAAGGCTTCAGCAGCAGCTGCAATAGAAAAGCAAAGCCTTGGTGATTATAGTGAAGCATAACAAGTAGTAGCATTCATCAACAGGCAGGTTAGGTTTAAGGCTCCAACTTCTTTTCACATCCTGGGTAAGAGGATAAACTACATCCAACAGCAAAACCTCTGATCAGGAGGTTTTGAGGAGAATTGAACCACCTCTTAATTGCTGGCATTCCAAGGTCCACACTGACTCAGGGTCGTAGCACCTGTTAGGGTCCAAGCTATGGACAGTATGTTAACCCCAAAACTGGGGTCAAAACACTATTAAAGTGTAAAAATGGGTTTTAATATCAGCAATACTTTTTCATAAAATATTATTACTAGCAATAAATTTTTGAAGGAAAAAATTATTACCAGCAATACATTTTTGGAAAAAAAATATTACCAGCAATATAATTTTTGGAAAAATTATTACCAGCAATAAAAATCTTGTCAGCATTAAATAACCAATTGAGGTTGATATGCCATAAAACAAAACAAAACAAACCAATATATACTGAGATAGATAGATAGATAGATAGATAGATAGATAGATAGATAGATAGATAGATAGATAGATAAAAATATTAGCAGCAATAAAAATCTTGTTGGCATTAAATAACCAATTGAGGTTGATATGCCATAAAACAAAATAAACCAAACCAATATATACTTAGATAGATAGATAGATAGATAGATAGATAGATAAAAAATATTAGCAGCAATAAAAATCTTGTTGGCATTAAATAACCCATTGAGGTTGATTTGCCACAAAACAAACCAAACAAACTTCTTTTCTCAGGATAATCTCACAAATTAAAACATTTGTTCATGTAGGGCAGGTGTGAGCATGTTGAATGCTAAAGGGTTAAATGTAAACAGATTAATTAATCTGATTATATTTAAAGTTGTAACTGAGTTTTTTGCAGACAGGTTTTGATTCTAATCTATGCCAAGTGGTCACCCATATAGGAACTGACCAGGCTCAATGTTGCTTAACTTTGGAGATCATACAAAGTGGTCATTAGCCAATAAGTTTCAGAACTGGTATTGTGAACATGAAGTCAATTATTGTCAGATCCCAGTGCCTCTCATATATGAAGCAGGGTTTTTAGACACTTGACCCCAGATTTGTGTTTGGCACTATGAAAAACAAATTCACACATTGAGAGTTTAGTAACCAAAAACCAACACCCACCTTTCTCATTACTTTCATTGCTAACTCATTCTTAATTAATGCTGGGTCCAACAATAAATAAACTGCATCTTGAAGCAAGGAGATTGGAGGTTTTGTGGAGAGTGGAACTACTATTTAATTGCTGTTATCACCAGGTTGAGAACTGGTGTCTCAACATGAAGCCGACATAAGCCAATTATTTTCAGATGCCGTTTCCCCTCACATCTAAAGTTTTCGACAATACGCAAAATGAAGAACAAATATCAAGCTGACCAGGCTTGATGTTTGTAACACAGAGATCATATGAAATGTTCATTAACCAATAACTTTCAGATCCCATATCCCATGATATGAACTGGTATTTCAGCCTGAAGTGGTCATAAGTCAATTATTGGCAGATTCAGTTCTCTCTTATATGAAGCAAGGTTTTTGACAACACACAAAATGAAGAAAAAATATCAAGCTGACCAGGCTTGATGTTGCTTAACTTTGGAGATCATATGAAATGTTCATTAACCAATAACTTTCAGATCCCATATCCCATGATATATGAACTGGTATTTCAGCCTGAAGTGGTCATAAGTCAATTATTGGCAGATTCCAGTTCCTCTCTTATATGAAACAAGGTTTTTGACAATACACAAAATGAAGAAAAATATCAAGCTGACCAGGCTTGATGTTGTTTAACTTTGGAGATCATATGAAATGGTCATTAACCAATAACTTTCAAATCCCATATCCCATGATATATGAACTGGTATTTCAGCCTGAAGTGGTCATAAGTCAATTATTGGCAGATTCCAGTTCCTCTCTTATATGAAGCAAGGTTTTTTGACAATACACAAAATGAAGAAAAAATATCAAGCTGACCAGGCTTGATGTTGCTTAACTTTGGAGATCATATGAAATGGTCATTAACCAATAACTTTCAAATCCCATATCCCATGATATATGAACTGGTATTTCAGCCTGAAGTGGTCATAAGTCAATTATTGGCAGATTCAGTTCTCTCTTATATGAAACAAGGTTTTTTGACAATACACAAAAATGAAGAAAAAAATATCCTGACCAGGCTTGATGTTGCTTAACTTTGGAGATCATATGAAATGGTCATTAACCAATAACTTTCAAATCCCATATCCCATGATATATGAACTGGTATTTCAGCATGAAGTAGTCATAAGTCAATTATTGTAACCAAAACACACATCAACCTTTCTCATTAGTTTCATTGTGAACTCATTCTTAATTCAGTCAGTTAGTTATGTGCCATGCATGATACAAGCTTAGGCAATCATGTACCTTTCAATACATGACTGATGAGGCAGATTTTTTTTTCCGCAATATGTTGCTATTTCTTTCTGTGGTAGACCAGTTGCCATCTAAGGCTATAGAACCTGGTCTGTCCTGCTATTTACCCTTAGCTGAGGGGAGATGAAGAGGATTCATAGCTTCCTCAAGGGAATTAGCACATAAGTGAATTTCAGTCAGTTATATGCCATTCGTGATACACGCTTAGGCAATCATGTATCTTTTGATACATGACTGACGAGACTTAAGGGCCCCTGTATTTTATATATAGATCATTTTCTTTCCCCTGAACTCTAGGTAATTACCAAGATTTGAGTAAAAATGGTGGTTGGAGTTCCATAATGAAGACATAAGTCATAGTATGAGAATTTTCTCAGAGATAAACAAGAGATTTGAAATGACAGATATGCAGTTCTTCCCGTGAATGTTAAAAATACTATAGACAGAATATGTTGGCAATAAGGAAGTTTTAAGGAAAATAGGAATAGTGAAATTTATACTTACAATTCAAAAAGAGACAGATGAAATTTCTGGGTTACATAAGGAGGAAAGAAGGCCTGGAGAATATAACACTCACAGGACATTTTGAATCAAGTGGAAGTAATGGAAGACAGAATAGGGACAAAGAGGGATAGTAAAGGATCCAAAAACATTTAGAAAAAAAAAAGGGGAAGTTGTGGAGAGCCATGATCAACCACGTTCTGAAGGGTCACAATATAAAAAGATTGATTGCATTAGGTATAGCTCCAGATTTTCTACATATAATTGACACCTGACAAAAAAAACTTGTATAAAGACAAATTTTATTGTCTAAACCTTTGTGCTATTTGCAAAAAGATTGAAGAAAAATTTAATATTAATATTGTGTAGTATCTGTCTATATTTCTGAGATGAGGTATTATGTACATTATTTACATCATTTGGACTATTGTCCTCATCTTTATTGCCATATTTATTACAACATTTAGGCTGTTGTACACTCCAGCCTTCTTCAGGTGATTGGAATGTCAAACTGAACCCTTTATTTCGCTCACTGGGGTAGACTGTTCTAGTTCCACGTGCCATGTCTAATGGATGTCAGTTATCAGTTATCTCCTGTTAATTCCCCTCTCCAAATTCTCCACTGTCTTAGCCAGGTATTGAATTCACACTCTCAAGGACACATGGTACAGTGGATAAAGGTGTTAGTTAGATCCAGTGACAGGACAAAAAGTATGTGAGTTCAATACCCGGTTAAGGCAGTGGAGAACTTTCAGAGGGAAATTAACACATTGAGACTCTACTAACCAAAACACTGTTATAGACAAGCGTATGGTATACGACAACAGCAGAAATAGATTTACGTGGTTTATTTCAACAGGAACGTGTGGGTTTGGGACAGCTACCTTGTGGTAAAGTTCATAAGCCGGCTTCGGCTCTAGGTCGATCTCTCATAGTAGTTCACACGTGTTGACGCTGGCGCTCCCTTGCTGACAGCTACTGACTGCTCAGGCTGATCGTGATAGGTCTGTTCCCTGGCCACCTGTGACTGCCTGTTGAACTTCTGTGTGACCCCTTTTATAGCGTTTTTTTATGGCTTAACAGGCTTGAAAAACGAAGCGAGTGTAATTAGGAGGGAAGCATTTTTATTGAACGAAAAATAGAACACTTTAAATATTATTTTATTTTTCGACCGAAACTCACGTGTCGGGAACATTTGTAAACGGAGATAATGGTCATTTTGTGACGGGGCTTTGTCCCGTTCATCAACTCTTGCTCGTGAGTATTTGTCTGTAAATCAGCCATGATATGTCTTATTTTATTTTATAACACACACATCCAACTTTCTCATTAGTTTCATTGCTAACTCATTCTTAATAAATCCTGGGTATGACAATATATTACGTCTGGAAGCAAGGAGATTGGAGGTTTTGTGTAAAGTGGAACTACCTCTTAATTACTGTTGTCCCCAGGTCCACCCTGACCTGTGGTAGCATCTTTTAGGGTCCTAGCTATGGGCAAATAGTGTACCTCTAAACAAAAACAAAAACAAAACACTATGCTAACCTAACACCATATTAAAAATATGGTGTTAGGTATTTTCTATTCATTGCATGAAAGATTCTTTCACTTTTACTGCTTTTATACAAAATTGTCCCTTCAATGCTGATAATAGATTTATGTGATATATTTCATATCAGCAATTTGTTTACTTGCATCCCATTAAGAGAAACAATTGATATCTGTTCTGATATCTTGTACCAGATTCACTTTTCCCTCCCAACCTCTTTCGGAGGGGGGCGTTTTCATTGAGTTTATGAGGTTTACCATAGAGTCTGTAGAATTTAATGTTAACAGCACAAAACAAATCTATGATAATGCCATGCATAGTTCTTTTGATCCGTTCCTGGCCAACATATTTGTTCAATTTTATGAGCTGGGGCCAAAGGCTCATACAGTCAACTTATTATCACATTATATACAGGGTGTCCCAAAATAATGTATACACTCTTTGAATCATTATAACTTATTCAATTTATGTATTTTGACTTGTAAATAAGTTTAATACAAGAGAAAGAATACACATTTAAAGAATTTGAGAGTAACATATACAAACAAATAAAACTAGAAAAGTTACTTTAATAAAAAAAAAGCTACTTGGATTAATGGCAGAATGTTCATATAATGATGAGTTCACATCAAGTGCTCAAATTGAGTGCCGTTCTGTTCAATACACTTTTCATATCTCGAAGAAATAGACCTACAAACGTCTAGTATCATTTCCTCTGGTATTGGAGCACATTCTTCTTCAATTGCTACTCTCATTTCAGCAATTGTTTTGGATTTCTAGCTGTAAACCTTCTCTTTTAGAAACCCCCACAAAAAGAAATCCAAGGGTGTCAAATCTGGTGATCTAGGAGGGTATTCAAATGTCCCTCTTCTTCCAATTCATCTGTTTTGCATATTTTCATCCATATAAATTCACACACCACGTTAATGTATTATTAACTATTAATATTTAAAGAGTGTATACATTATTTTGAGACACCCTGTATATATATTATAATTTATTATCATAGACATGTAAATGATGAGGAAAAGTCAGGTGTTTCTTGCATTGCTTAGTGATTTGCATCTCGCTCTAAGATTCACATGTGAGAAGGAAAATAACATGACTTTAGCATTTCTTGATATATTAGTGCACAGGTCAGATACTTGTTTAGAGGGGTTCATTTTCCATGAAAATGGAAAAACAAATGGAAAG